CTCAGCATCAGCATCGGCATCAGCTTCAGCTTCAGCACCTGGCTGAACAATTAGAGTTTCAAGTGGACTTTTGATTACATTTGCATTTGACAAAGCGCCGAATCTAATTACAGCTGGCAAACACAAGCGGCGCAAAACTTTTGCCAGCCACAGCAATTGCCACTTGGCTKCAGATCTGGCCGCGGGCAGTAGCAGCAAATTAATTTGGCCTGAGCGCGCCCAGTGGGAGCTGAGCGAATGAATCACTCTCTTACCGTTTCCAGTTGCTTGGCATAGTTGGATGTTGAGTTGCCCGCCTGTATGAGTGGCCGTCCATTGTTGTACACCGCACAGATGACCATGCCCAGCGAGAACATGTCGCTCAGCARGCTGCACTTCGAGCTGGTCTGCGTTTCGGGTGCTATAGGAAAGASAGAGAAAGAGAACGAGTTAGAGAGGAGGGAAWGAATTTGTTGCAGCTTTGAAGTGGCCACGTTTTGTTTACCCATAAAGTCGAGATTGGGCTGAGCCATCTTTGATACCCTGTTGCTCCACGGCGGGCAAGGAATTGAGCTATTCAAATCAGTCTCATTCATTCTTTCTGCAAGGCAAGAATAACATAACAACAATCGGTATTATGAATACAAATCGAGTGGCCAGAGTGGCATTCGTTTCAATTGAAATGTGCTGCTAAACTTACCCACATACTCCATGCCCGCCAGCTTCCAAATGCCCCGCTTGGTTATTAGTATAGAGGATGGACACACATTTCGATGAATTACGTGACCGGAATAGTGCAAATAGGACAAAGCCTCCGTTAGCTGCAAACGAGAAGCCACAGAGAAACTCTCTGTTATAGAGTCAACTGCACACACACACACACACACACACACACACGCCTGCACGTTGGCAATGCGAGTTGTTTGGTTTACCTGCAAGAATCCATATTTCAGCTCCATATCCAAGAAATTGTATTCCTTTGCATGCGCCGGCCGTTGCGGCTGGGCCCCAGCAGCTGGCTGTGCCTGCGCCGGCCCGCCACCTGCTGCGGGTGCCACGCTGGCATTCTCGTACGTTTTCGACTCCTGCAAGACAGTGTGGCGCATAAGAATTGGCAGACACGTGAACTCGGTCCACCCAAAAAATAAAATCACAAAAAAAAAATTGAGCAAAAAGTTCTGTTTGCATTTTATGGCAATTGCTTTTTCAATTTTTCTCGCATTTTTCTTTTTCACTTGGCTCGCCGCCTCCCAGTGGGAAAAATAACATGTCATGAAGTCATAAACTTTGCAGACAATAAAGACATTAAGGAGTAGCAAAAACAAAAACAAAAACCAAAAAAAAAAAAAAGTCTAGTATATCTGTTCTGACTGCCGAACAGCGACTAAGTAAAGAATTTGTGCTGAGTTATAGTTTCAATGGACATGGCTTTAAAAGGTCGCCTCGTGCTGTCCTTTGTTCTCCGTTTGCCAGGTTCCACAAGATCGTTATGAGTCGCAGAGTACAAATAGTTCCATAAACTGTGACTTTTCTGCTTTCCTTTCATTATTCCAGCACATATTGTTTATTCTGTAAAACAATTTGGCTTTGTACCCATGCAATTTTCAATGTAATTTAACTCGATTCGAATTTTGTTTCTCCTTCGATTGTTGTTGCCCTTGCTCTGTGCACCTCAATAAACTAAAATATTGTCTGGAGCTTTGTTGGCTTCTTCCAGCTAAAAACAAAGCACTTTACTCTTGCTACCACCTGTGTGCGT